ACATGCAATTAGTGAAAGGCAATCACACTCGAAACAGGAAAAACAAACTTGCGAACATAGTATTAAAAACAAAATTGAATTGCTTGTTCTCCTTTTGACTATAATTATCTTTCAACAATAAGTCTTGAACAATATATATATATATATATATATATATATATATATATATATATATATATATACGCCAAAAGAATAACGCGGTATTTGTAACATAGTTTTGGGGTATCGATTCCACATAGAGATGAAAAATTGCTCAAATGATCAAAATGTGAATGTTCTCTTGGAATGTGTAATATAATTTATTGTTTTAGTGAAATTTAAATCAAAGTTTGAAATAAGAAAATTAAAATCAATGTTTGGAATAGTGAAGCGCCAGAATTTTTTCAATTGGATTTGGTCATTCAACATCAATTATTCATTCTTTTTACTCAATTAGAGGTTTTCATCCCAACTCTCTAATAAGAAGATATATCGTTGAAAATAATTTATTTCAATTGTAATCCTAGAATTTAGATTTCTTATAACACATTCCCACAGTTTTCATTGAAATAAGATTAAGAAACGACTATGTACATCAAGTATAAGACAGTAATTAATCACACCAATAATATAAATTTGAGATTATAATTCAACAAATACTTCAATTATTTAATAGAAAGAGTGTGACTAGATCTATGAAGAATTTAATAAAAGTTAAATTAATCTCAAACAAATTCACGTAGGAAAAGTCTAAATCCTAAAATTATTCAACAAGAAAAGATCAAATTACATGAATAGAGGGTCTGAAATCTCCAAATCCAATTAGTTTCTTCTTAGCTTCACCAAGAATTTTAGTTCCCCATGGAAATCTTGAGCAAAAACTAGAAAAAAATATAATTTTAGTTCCCCATGGAAATCTTGAGCAAAAACTAGAAAAAAAATATGTATTGAGGCGTTTTCCCGTGTTCTGGGACGTATTAGGGGTCAAATACACAAATCCTCCATTGTTTCCATAGGTAGTTGAACAAGATTAGGAAACTAAATATTCGCCCCTCGAACATAACTATACGACCACATAGTTCATCAGCATGA